GTAAAAATTTTTACCGAAGCTTTAAAAAAAAGGCCTTCATTCTAATGCCTAATCAACAATATTTTATCACTATATAGTTATATCAACAGAAATGTTCCCAAGTATATTAAATTCACTAACATAACTGATTAAAACACAATGTGATTTACTTTATACCCAATTTTGCACCATATTTTAAGTAACAAATTTCATACAAATTTACAATCATTCTAACTCACCTTGTTTTATCTTGAAAGTTACTGAAAAAAATACAAAATAGTTTTTAAAAAAGACTTAAAATTTAAAACATACATAAAATTATAAATAAACCAAATATAATAAATACTAAAACTAAATATTGGTTCTAAATTATATATTTCTACTACAAACTGGTAACCAGCATTCTAAAATGTTTAAAAAAGCAGTAGTTTAACTGATTAAAGCTAACATTACTTTACTCCAAATAATATACTTAATGTCAGAAGTTTCATAAGAATAGCTAATACATGCAAGTAAAAACACATTTGAAGTTTAAATCATAAAGTCTTCCAAATTTGTTAGAATCATGTTCACTCAGGAAGTTTAATTCAATACACATAAAGTTTAACGCGTGTTAAAAAGAAAACATTTTTCAAACAACATGGAAATGTTATTCATTTAAGAAAAACTCAATTAACAACACTGATAAAAAATGTAAATATATTCTTTTTTGTCAAAAACTATTAATTTTGTATTCAAAATTATATTTTTCATGAGTACTCAAACATCTGATACTCTTTTCCTTTCTTAAAATGTTTTCCCTAGTAGCATAAAACTAAACATTTTTTAAAATCGAAAATGTATTTCCAATAATACTTACATCATTCTCATGCATACAGTTATTACTCGACTGCCAGAGTTTCTTCCTTTGCCCAATTAAGCATTGGTCTGATTTTTTCTTCCTTGCTCCAGTTTTTTATACACCACTTAATTACATTTAACAATATTTGTCTTATGATACTCTCCACCTAAGTAAATACACCCTCTATCCTAGTACTATATATATAAGCACTTCATTCAGATAATGTTATCACTTTTTCAAGACTCACTCAATCCCAGTCTCTAACACCAGCTCTTAGTGGGTAGGAAGAGTGGGACAGGAGTTAAGTATTATTGGAAATACATTTTTGATTTAAGAAAATGTTACCTTCCAAGGCATACTTACTTCCTCTCACATTTACAGCTGGAATCCAACATTGATAAGGTGGAGGGGCCAGTGAAGGCATTATCTATACAGAAAGCATCTACATAGATCATGGGTATGTCAATAGAAGATTGGCACCCTAGTGGGGGAAACGCATAACATCCAGAACAGGTATGCTCTTCACCCGGAACTTAATTCCTGTACTGTGGGTGGAAATTAACATGATGTGTTATCACTATTGGCCAGGCACCAACCAGATACCCGAGGTTCCGCTTCTCAGGGTTTGAATTATAAGGCCATGGTCCATATATCTTACATTGTTGGCTAGGGCAATTGGACTGCAATCTATCTATATACAGTGATGCATTCTGAGCCACCGGAATCACAATGAGAAGGTAAGCAACAATGAAGTGGACAAAACTACTCCTCCAGGTGAAGAAGTTCGAAAGGCAACACCCCACACTTGGAATGATGGGATCTTTTATGCCATGCTCAACCTGAGGAAAGAGAACTCACCCAGTCTATAATTATGAACACTCATCCTCACTCCCCAGTCAAGTGAGCAAGGTAAATTCTGCTTGCCCCAGGAATTATGGGGAGAACGTGGAGCAAACTGTGTTCAACCAAAGACCCAGGATGGGAACTCTCTGCATTCAGAATTACGTGGAAACAATGTACCCTCTTCCATGAAAAATGTACTGAACCAATATTGATTAAAAAGACACACACGCTCAACCCAATCAGACAGCCGAGCATCAAATCTGAATTGGTATACAAGTAGGCTCCCATGTAGGCTGGTACCTCTCCTACTAACATCAGGGAAAAAACACCCAAGAACGATACAAGGGTCCCAATTTTGCCCTCTTATCCAAGAGTGGAAGAATTCACTCAAACACTAGTGGAAAAGCTTCCATCCAAAATCACAGTGACAGGAAACCAGGTGTGGTAAGGACTCCCTAGCTCCACTAGTATAATCTGGAGGGTAATGAACATTATAGAGTCCTGAGAAACCATGCTCTGGAAACAGTGAAATAGGTGAAACAAGTTCCATACGTTTTTAAAAGGAAACTCACCCAATTCATTCAATCCAACGATTGGCAGAGACAGACAGGATCCTCTTATGCTTTACTCATGATAGTCTATGAGTGGTGGTCCACCATAGTACAGTAATATCACCTAGAGGCTGACCGGATGATATTACTGTGAAACACCTCATTTCTACAGAGCTTGTTGCAACCTATATAAAGTATACTGAATTAGTGGTTGCTAGTGCAGAATTGGTTTGATAAAAGCATACCTGCCACAGGGTAGGATCCTGTAGAAATGAGGTAGCGGAC